ATTCTGGATTAAAAGATCATCATACTGCGTCATCCACGTGACTTCATTATGACTGGTCAATTGCTCCGTTGACAATATATAATCAATTGGTAAAGGATTATCATTATTTATAGATTTACCTAAAAAAGAAAATTTTCATCAAAATAGATTCTTTTTACATAATTTTATAGATATACAGTATATATCCTATTGAAAATGATAAAAATAAAGAGCAAATCAAGTTTTACTCATAAATTTAACAAATCTTATTTGATTTCTTAGATTTCTTATTGAATATTGAATTATGTATACTCATATTAAAAGAAATTATTTCAAATTCTATTTTTTATTTTTTGAGAAGAATCTTTTCTTTTTACAATTCAACTGATATTTTAGTTTATACTATCAATCTCCTTATATCTTCATTTTTGATCAAATATAAATTCTAAAATATATTGAAAAGAAAGACTTAATGGTATTTATATCAAAATGAAAAAAGAATGTAGTAAATTCAAAGTTTCTAATATTTTACATTATTCTTCTAAGGTTATTAATTTTTAAAAAATTTAGATCATCTTAACTTTAAAATTAGTTTATCTTGTTTAGACTTTTTAACAAATACTGATAATATTATTTGAATTTTTTATTAAAGATAAATCATTAAATCTAAATAAAATTTTATTGGAAAGAAGTTCTGATGATTAGTTAATTCAAATAAGTAAAATAGAATTATAAGAAATAATTATAATTTTTATTTTTTGATTTTACTTTTATTTTTTTAATATTTGTATAATTTCAACTTAAAATCTAATAAATCTTGCAACAGTATTACATTGTTAAAAAAAATTGAAAAAGTGGATGCATGATACAGGATGATAAATATTATTTATGTGATTTCATGATATTTTAAATCTTACTAGTATCACCAACAAATTTTTCATCATCATGTAATTATAGAAATATTTATCACCCCACATTACACCCTTCGCATTTTCTATTTTTATAAGTATTCTAGGAACAGAGAATTTTTTGGGATGCAAAATCATATTTAACACTTGACGAATATAATGTTACCCATAAAAAATGGTAGCCAGATTTTATTTGCCAGGTATTTATTATTAGGTTTAGTATTAAAGTTAGGGTTTAGATTAGGATTAGGATTAAAGTAGAATTAGGATTAGTTTAAGGGGTCAGCAAATTTGTCACATTGCGTCACATCCCAGCTATTCTTCAATTTACTAAGTATTCTGGAGACTTAGAAATTATTTTGAGAGAAAAAAATGCTAATTGTCACAATTACTGTATATGTCACCCCCAATAAGTATATGTGACCCGGCAAATAAAATCCGGCTACCATTTTTTACGGGCGACGCTAGGGCTGTTTTTGACACCTTTATTCGTCACATGGTTAATTTCTTAATGCCGTAATGCCGGCCAAACGTCACGTGTAGTGGAAAACCTGTTGGTAATACTGGGTAAATACATTTCAGCAGGGGAATCCTGCAGAGAATTTCACAAAATTTATTTTTACTAAATCAAAAATCTCAAAAATAGTATGATTAATTATAATTGTTATTTTATTTTAATTATTATTTCGTATTCATAATATTGTAAAAAAACCTCAAAAGTCCGAATTTTATTGAGAAAAGAATGGTAGACGAGCCTTTAGAAGAGACTTTCGAAATTTATAATTAAATAAAACTTCTATCCTTACAACATTGTCAAACCTTCGTGTCTTCATGATGAATTGACTGTAATAATCAACTACACAAGAGAATCGTATTAATAAAGTTGCATAAATCTTTCTTAGAACGGCCATTAGTTAGATTTAAATCCTTGCTGGGCTGGTTAATCTGTTTCGGTTCAATGGGATGATAATGTTGTATTTATATGATTTAAATTCGGTATTTATTCACGTTTGTATTTGCGAGATAATACTTGATCAAAATTAATTCAAATGCATGAATTACGGTATGCTTAACATATAATATTGACCTCACTTAAATTTATGTTAAAGTTTCTCATCAATGAAATTTAAAATAAAAATTTCATGATCCCCGGCAAAATATGACCTCATTTTTATACGAATAAATAATGTAAGATCTGCAATAAAGTACTACAATGCTGAAGTTACATTTACATAAAATAACATTTTAAAGTCGAAATATGTTTATCATAGTGATATAAAAAAAATAATAATAAAAGAAGAAAAAAAAAAAGAAATATCTTTAATATTAACACTTAGTTAAGCAAATTATGGATTTTCAAAAACCTAGATCTTCCCGTTTCTTGTTCAATGGGGTTACTATTAGAATTGCTGATTGCGCTATTGTAGATAAAAAGTTCTTTGCATTAGCATTTGAGTCATTGAAGCGGAAAGAGAAGAATCATATCATGTACGTCTCCTTTCTCCATTTTCTTGATATAATATTGGATATTCACCTTAAATTAGAAATTTGTTGTTGCGTCATCATACGATATATGCGTGAGAAATTCGTTGGTATCAACCATAATTCGGGAATGTTTGTTGGGATCCAAATGCCCTCTCGTGACATAATATATACATTGTTAATCAATATTGCTAACCTATATTCAGTAATAAGAATATATTCTGCCATTTTTTTTTATCTTACGAAGATCTTCTTGATGGGATGGAAAAGATGAAATGAATGAATTTGATTTTTTTTTTTTTAAAAAAAAATCTTCCAAATGAATTTCATTTTTATACATGAATCATGTAATACGAATATGATAAATAAAATAATACATACATGACATGTATCACATTCCACGGCTCCTTTGGATATATTCATATAAATGAGTTGCATTGTTCATTAATTCGAAACGTTTCAAATTGGAAAAGGAATTTCTAGGATTGGTCTATATTTTTTGGTTGGGCATTAACTTGGACGATAAAAAGAATAAAAAAAACAAAGGACCTGAGAATGTGGAAGATTAAAAAAATAATTATAAGCTCTTATCGTCAAATGGAAATTAATGAAGTTCTTTAAATAAATGAACTATTTAATGCAGGCTGTTCGGTATCAAAAAGTAAATAAAAATAAAAAAAGAAAATATTAAAACTTAATTTATCCTTATTCAGGTTTTTAACCAAGAATAAAAACGCGCCAATTTATGTTTATGTTACAAGGCGAAAAACCAAATTTAAAATGTCAGAAATACTAAAAATAGTGTGATAAGAATCGGTATCACGAATTTTAACCGTGAATAAATCCTCCGTTTAAAACAATACTCGAGAATTTATGATTGATCAGCTTTGAACTGAACTAACCCGAACCAGTAAAAAGTATTTTCTTAAGAAAAAAAGAAAATTTTTTAAACGAATAAAATAATACATCAAGTATATGGAACTTTATTAAACAAAGAATACGTAGTTTATCAGAATCCACTCTAACAAAATTCGCCTGTTGTTTTTATTAAAAGAAAATGTTTCGTGAAAATTTGATATCATAATACAATGGTCAAACTCGAACAACCAATCAAATCATAATAAAATGGAAATAAATAAGGTTTTAAAAAAGTAAATCATCGAAAATAAACAAATGTACAGATTAATTGAATAAAAAACAAAAAAGGAAAATTAAACAAGGAATATGATATGCAAGTCTTTGTTTTTGACGTTACATCTAATAAATCTTATAAGACAAAAAAATACAATAATTATAACATTTTACATCATACAGTGATTTCTAAATTTATGAAATATGCTTCAAATATTAAAAAATAAATAAAAATTAATAAAAAAAAAAATAAACAAAAACGTCGTCGATCATATAAATTTCGTACCACAATAATTCTTAAACGCTATAGGCTCTTTCAAAAATACTAATAAATTTGTTAATGTATATTTACGGTAACTTAACGTTCCAGTACTACAAATTAAGATAAAAATTAAAAAATGGCTGATGTGGCTAGTAAAATTAAAATTCGAAAAATTTTCCGGTATTTATTAACTATTATTGTTGATCATTCAGTTAATAATTATGAAATCGCAATTATTATTTTTCGAAATCGAAAAGAATTTCCTGAGTATCCATTATTGATGCCTTTTGAATGTTACCATCCACAAACATAATAGAGGAAATTTTTTAATTTTATCTTGTAAAGTTTGAAAATGAGTGACAATAATTCAAATCACTATTCAGCTATCTAATGCGAATTATTACATGCCAACTTGTACTATCAAGTGAATAATAAAAACTGAATGATGAAGAAATTATCAATGATGGATTCATTGATTAAGAAATAATTGAAGAAACGATTGATGAAAGCGAACTTGAGGACTCAAGTTATGCTACTGAATTCTGATCACATTCTGATATTAATAACTCCTGATATATACTAGCTGTAAATTGAAAATTATATAAAACTAATAAAACAAAATACTGTGCAAGTGCAGCCATTAAATTTGGAAGAAACAAATCAGGAAACAAGTAAAATCTAAGTTTTTTAGCCTTAAAACAAAACATTCTAATAAAAGAAAGAAGTATATTGTATTTTAATTATTAATTATAATTTATTTTATTTTAAATATATAATCTTTGATGAATTTAAAAAAAAATAAAAAACATTCATTAATTGTGAAAAAATTGTTAAATCAAAAGAATTTACATAAATTGATTGAATAAAAAATTTTGATAAAAAGATCGAAGAGAAGACAAAAAAGAGAAAGCAAATGAAATTAAAATAAAGCAAAAAAAATTAAATTATGAAAATTAAAAATAAAAAAAAGAATAATAATCCAAATAATATAAATTATGAATTATAAAAATTGAACTAAAATATAAGTTTAAAATATAGATATTAAAAATAATAATGATAAAATCATTAAAAAATGTTTAAAAAGTTTATATTATGATTTTTAGTAATATAAAAAAAGATTTATATTTAATTTAACAGATTTTTTTTTTTTTGAAGTTTTAATAATATATAGTATAATTTCTTTTTTCTTTATTATTTACAGAAATTTTGTTTCCTTATTATGCAGTAATTGCATAATATCTAATTAATACTAAATAAAGTTATAATTATATATTTATTATATAGTTACTTTACAGTTATTACATATTAAGGAAATCAAGTTTTTGCAAAATAAATACAAAATATTATTTATTTTAAATAGTTTAAATTAAAAGTTAAACTATTAATATTTGTTATATTAAAGAAATATTAATTATAAATAAATGTTAAATATTTTTTTTTATAAATAAGTTTTAAAAATTTATATATTATAGAGAATAAATTATATTAATATAATAAAAAAATTATTAAACAAGTTTTTAAATTAAATAGTTATAAGAATTATAATTTATCTATAATACTAAAATTACAATTTTAACAATAACATTTTTATCTTTTTTTTTTTATTATTTTCAAATGAATATAATAATAATTATTATTATTATAGTAATATAATATATAAATTAAATTAATAAATTACTATTATTATTATAATAAGATAGTATTAATCTATTATATATATTTATTAATACAGATTTTTTATACTTATTAAAATTCAATTTAAAAATTATATCATAAGTATTTATTGTTAAAACCTTAATATTTAAATTTAAAGTATTAATAATAATGAATAAAAAAAAATAAAATTATGATATATATATTTATATTAATAAAAATTATAAAGTTAATAAATTTAATAAAAAAATTAAAGGCTAATAATATATACAGTCCTATCAAAAGTAATGGCGAACAGTTTTTTTAACCTTATACATGTAATTTTATATCAAATATAGGTAAATTTTTTTAAATAAAGATAAACAATATTTATAAATTTTATTAGATAATTAATATATAGTATGTCTTCCATTTGCATCATCAAAACATGCTTGAATTCGATTAGCATGCTATTAATACAATTAAGTAATATTGAATTATCAAGATTATCCCATTTCTTTATTAAAAAAAATTTCATTTGAAATTTTTTTGTGTAACTAATATTTTTAATATTTTTTCTCAATTTTATTTTTAAAAAAATGCTCAAATATTATACGTTCCTATTACAAAGGAACTTTATGACTTTGCAACTTATTTTAATAGATGTTGATGATATTGTAATTTCAGTGAGTAATTAAAAAGTTCAAATGGATTTAATTTATTTTTTTTATTGTTTATTTTATATAAACATACCATTATCCAATTTGGTTTAATAAATAATGAACTAAATTGGAATAACAGAGTTGTTGTGATCTACACAAGAAGTAATGTTTCCAACAGTCATTACTTTTAATGGAAACTATATATGTAATTTAAAAAAAGTAAATATGTTATAAATAAAAAATTTTTTTAATTTATTATTATAAATAAATAAATAATTAATTAATTATTATTTGAAACATTTTAGTAAATTTATTATAAATAAAAATTATAAATTAAAATAAAAATAATATTTTATTGTATACTAATTAAATTTAAAAATAATTTTCTAAGTTTTTTTATTTTTATTTTATTTATTTAATATCTATAATTTTATTATTTACAAATTTTATTATATTTTTTAAATTAATTATAATATTATATTTTATTTACTATATTATAAAAAATTAAAGCTATATTAATAAATTTAATAATAATTTTTATATTTTAAATACTTATTTTTTTAAAAAACTAAAATTGATTTTTTTTAACATTTAAATATTTACTTTTTTATAATATGTATTAATTATTTTGTTTATATATTATAAATAATTTAAAAAATATATAAAAGATATTTATTGAATAAAATAAAGTAATATTGATATTAAATTTATATAATTATATAAAATTAATCAATTTTGCCTTAATGTTAATACTTTATAATATTATTAAATAAATATTAATTACTAAATTCTAATTAATTAAAATTGTATAATTACAAAAATTTAAGCAGAAATTAAAATAAATAAAATTATAGGAAATTCTAAATATATTGAATTTTAATATAATGAATTTTATAGATAATGAATTTTTAGTATAGTATAGATTTTTTATATTAAAAAATCTTGTTATACAAAATTATTAAACTAATAATTTATGAAGAAAATTTTGTAAATACATTATATAAATAATTATTTTTATAATAAATTATTTATAATGAATTTTTTTGATACAACAAAGATTTTAAAGGATAGATATTACTTTAAAGAGACTTAGTTCTATAAAAGAAAATAAAAAAATATTAATAAATATTCTCAAAGAAGTTAACCTATTCTAAGAAGAAGGAATTCAATAAATTAATTAATTCTCAAGGTTAAAAGAAAGTTAGTTCTAAAAAAAGAGAAAAAAAGAATATTAGTAAATGTTCTTAGAGAAGTTTACCTATTTCAAGAAAAAAGAATATAACTTATTAAATAGTTTTCAAGTCTAAAAAAGGCCAGTTCTAAAAAAAAAAGAAAAAAATATTAATAAACATTCTTAGAGTAGTTCATTCATTTCAAGATGAAGGAATACAATTTATTAGTTACAGTTAATACTTAATATAATAAATTTTGATATAGCAAATTATTTGATATAGTGAAATTTAGTATGAAACAGATTTTAACATATGAAAAAATTTTTGATATAGCGAATTTTACTAATTATATTTGCTATAACCTTATGC